TGCACACGTAATGTAATCAAAATCGGCGGGAGATCTAAATAAATGCGATCTTGCCGTCGCGCGTTAAGAAGAAATACAGAATAGTGATAATTAGAGCTCTCGATAGATTTACCGTTTAATTATTAATCGTAAATAACTTCCGATGAATCTGTTATTCGTCCACTATCAGTCACCGGGACAAACGCATTGTTTTGCTTTCATTGAATCGATAAGGGTTGAACAAATTTAATCGAATGAAAAGACAAAAATAAGTGAGAGAAAAAGAAGATAAATGTCCGATGACAAAACGGAAGTTATTTACGACACGATCCGATAAATATTGGACGCATCGTATCGGTCGACGATTTCAAACCGATTTTAGCCGATCGAGAAAAATGTAACCGCATTTGAACCTTGGACTACTACAGATTCGCACGACCACCAGGTACGGTCGTATTTTTATGTTCTATGGTCGTTCGAAATGAAGCAACGCGTGCGTATCCCGTACGGAAAGCTCGCGACGGTATATTTCGCAATCGGGGTAGTAGTCCAGGATTAAAAATGGCGCAGCAACGCGAAAACTTGCCTCGTGCCAAGATGCGCGTCGTCGAGGCTTTGCAAGCGCGCGTATAGCCAAGTTAAAATTGGATCGTAGATTGAGATTGCGAAATTACAATCTAAAACTGGACCGTTGTGTCGAGTATCCGCCGAAGGAATCACGAAAACACGGGTCGAGCACGTGCGAGACCACCTCTAATTGGCACTAACGAAAATTACGATGATTCGTCGAACATGTTTTATAACAGTTTTATAATTGCTCTAGTTGCGGCGACAAGGTTCGCCGCGGTGTTCTTACGATAATACATGTAGTCGTCGTTGTGAGAATGGTAATAAAGTGTCTTGCGTGCCTCTGTTTTTGTTCGAACGAACGCTATCACGAGCAAGTAATGCAACAACGACTGGTTCGAAATGGCCGCGCGTATTCATCGGACCCGTGGAGTCGCACAAGACGAACGAACGAAGACAACGAAATCCACCGCATAAGATTTTCCATCTGATCGCAATATGAGCTGTTTATTTTGAAAGTGGCATATAAGTCACTTTGTTTTTAAGTCGATATATTTAAGAGTTTGCGTTTTAACACGTTTCAAAATGTGGATGCTAACTTTCGAGAAGATTTACTTGCATTTGTTATCTCGGAATACCGATATTTTTCTCAGTATAAATAATTTCGTATAAACATTAAAAAATCACCACTTTTCATTACGGTAACGTGACCTATGCCGCTTTCAAAACAAACGACTCATATGTTCGTTGTACCTTGCCGGCCACCGCTCAACCCTTTGCACTCGACTGGCGACGCCCAGGCGCCGTTAAAAACTGTTACGTCGCGTTTCAAGATAATATTATCGATCAAAGTTGTTTACATTTAAAAAAAAACCCGTCGTCAAAATGCATCAGGTTATATAAAATGCAAATACCATGGACCAGAAAAGATATTTTAAATTTTCCATTAATTCGGCTTCGAGTGCAAAGCGGTTAAACTTCGATAGCCGTTACACATTTATTGCTTGTTGTCGCAAGCGTGTTTTAACAACCGCAACCGAGAGTTCGCTACGCGCGCACACCGGCGAGGCTAAATAAAAAGTGAACCAGTCTCGGAAGCGTACAGTCGTCGTCTTTCTCTGCGCTCGAATTTACACATTTAATCGGCGCCGAGCGTTTCCAAGTTTCCCCGGGACATTTCCGTCGGTACACGTGTTGTAACGCGCGCTCGGCAGTCCGCATTAGCAGCAATTTTTCGCGTCGGCGTCGTCGCAAGTTTCGCCGCGAATAATCGCGCGTCGGTCTTTGCGGGAGCGTTTACACGCGAGAGAGGATACGCGGGGGGAGGAACCTGTTTGCGGGCCGCGCGCGGCACGCCGCAATAAATCTGTCCGTCGGCTCGGAAAGAATCTCGTCGCGGGGCGCGCAAAAATCGACCCGCGGATATCCGACGGTGCGTGTCTCCTGTTATTACAGCGGCGTCTATAAACGCGCGTGTCCGCGGCATTTTATGCGGCGTTCCGCGCGCGCGCGCGCGTGACTCGGAACGCGCGGCGATAAAACGATCGGGCGAGCGTGCGTAATGCGTGCGTCTCGCGAGAATCGCGTTCATCTTTCTTCGCTCGCGCTCTCTTTCTTTCTCTCTCTCTCTCTCTCTCCCTCCCTCTCTCTTCCGAACGATCTTTGCCGGCCGTTGCCGACGATTTCACGGCGAGAATCGTTCGGACGCGAGACACGGTTATAGACCGCCGACGATTCGTGCTGCTCGCGGCCTGATTGTTTTATAGCCAGCGCAGCGGGAAACCGTCGGTGCGCGACGCGGATAAACCGCGAATAATTGTTGCCGGTTCTTCGTAGCCAGCGGCTCGCGGTATCGCGACAAGAATCGCCCGACCACCGGACCCAACATTCGCGAGCGTTTTATGGCCGGTTGGCCCTTTCATGCCTGGCACGCTTCGGTCGTCGCGTTATGTAAGACAACGCGCGTGTCCCACTTCGATGAGAGTATCGTAACGATCGCGTTTACTCGCGATTTATATCGGCGCGCCGCCGCATCGCCTCCGAGATCGCCGACGATTATGTAACGGGCGCGCGATCTTCGGGCGGTCTCTCGCGGCCCACGGCGTTCGGAACGTAAACATCGGATCGGCGCAAGAAATCGACGGTTTTTTCTTTATTCGCATAATTTTCGCGAAGTAATCATCGACGAAGTCTACCGCCGAAACGCGTTAGCATTGTAAGCCGCGCGGCCTCTTCTCGCCGCGACTCGATATCACACATACACGCATACGCATATATGCCTTTTTGTCATCGTCGTCGTCGTCGTCGTCGATCGCTGCTCGTTGTAATTGTAATGGCAATAAAAATCATGCTGTGCATCCCCACCTCCCATCATTTCATTTCATACCGTCACCTCTAGGACATAGCTGCTCGGAGCCCCTCGATAGTTACAATAGACGGGTTAGCTTTCTTTCGATATCTCGGTGATCGATCTTGAATATTTTCTCCGTACTTGGATCGCGAGCGCATAGTCGTTCGAAAGCATCGGAATAGCGTGCTTGAAACTGCGAACGATCGTCGCGAAAGTAGACGAATTTCTTTCACGCGAGCTTGGTTCCCAAACTTTCGAGCGATAATCGTATTATAGAGCTGCGATTTTTATCATCGGATCGTCGAATTAAATTTACCAAATACGTACGAACTCCGAACGACGACGTTTGTCCTTGTCGAATGAAATAATCGAGAAAATGGCGGGGCCGGCCGCAAACGGCGCGTCCGAAGTTTATCGTAAAGGAACGGGCCGATTCAAAGAGAAAATAGGCGGATTCGCGAGTTTTCATTGTCAATGTCGCATCGAAGGCTCTCCAGGTATCGATAACCGAAGAGTTTAATATAGAACCGGACTCTCGATTGAGGACACGAGATCCTAGGTGAGAACGGAGTGAGCCGATAGGATGGGAGAAGCGGATACCCAGAATACATCGGTTAAAAATAATCGGTTCTCACTAGGGAATGCTCGGATATTTGGGAACAAGGTCAATCGATAGCATCGCAACTTCCGAAATACGTGTATAAATATTTGACACTCGTTTAAAGAGTCATCTCGTGTCGCTAACGAATAGTGCTGCTCGTTCGACGATCGGAGCACGATCGCTCTGCCTCGAAGCAAGAGGATACCCGGTACGGAAGCGTTTGTTAATTGATCATTACTGTCGCCGTCGGACTGCAGATGTTTATGCGAACTAATATCTTCGTCATCGGTAGCCGAAAATTAATCATTTCGATTGGTAACGACACGAGCGTCCTTTGCACAAACGCGTAAAGATGCGCAGCCTCGAACGACGTTCATTTCTTTTCTCTCTCTCTCTCTCTCTCTCTCTCACACACACTCTCATGCGTTCCATTCGTACGACGCGCATCTTCCAAAAACTACAAGTCACGACGTGCGCTCGCGAACGCAAAGCATCCCTGCCGGATTTATTTTTAAGCGCAGGGCCGACACGACGCTCGTGCGAATTCTTCAAAGTAAACGAGGCAGCTTTATTTCATAATATTTTATAATATATTTTATTATATAATATACATTGTACGACAATGTTATATCCGAGAATATACAATTACGAGCGTTTATTCTACGGCGCGTAACCGAAACAAAAGTTTCCACGCGGTCGGGACCGCTTGCCAAATGAGACAGCGTGTTTCATTTTCTTGCGCGAACTTCGCGGATCAACCTAGTTGCAACGATGCGGAAACTTTTACTGCTCTATAATCGCCGAGGAATACACTTCCTGTTCGCGCACCTGAAAGGCATCCGGCGGCATCGTGGAACTTGAGGACATCTATTACGCCACCGTAACGACAGAATCTACGAAGCCGCAATGGAATCGAACATGGCTGAAAGGCGATGGTCCGGGAATCCTTGGGAGAACATTTTTGCGATTGGCATGTTGGCAGTGTGGTTAGCTGGTTGTGTGGCTAATCTTATTCACGACCGCTATCGGCACTGCAATAATATGACGATCGCGGATCTACGATCGAGAACGCCGGAAACCGGAGACACTTCGAGAACGAACGGAAAAAATCTGATGAAACTGCTGTCCATGGTTGATCGTTTCGTTTCATTCGCGAAAGCATGCTGCAAGGGGTGAAGGAAACGGTCGCGACTGAATTTCGACTCGGATTCGCGTTCGCTGGAATCCGTCGACAGAATTTCGCGACAGAATTTCGTTGCTCGAGTTGCACGGAAAGCGCAGCCTGTGTCTTTCTTTCCTAGATCTATTATTAAACGAGGATTAATCACGGTGAAGCGACTATATTTAAGCGTTATAAATAGTTCCATAATTCGTCGATTTTCGCATCGAGAACAGCGAGATCGGTTCCCGATGCGAAAGTCGATTTCGTAGCGGGGAACAATTGGACACATCCTTGTCGAGTTCGATGTGTGACTTAGAGCCGCTTTTTTCCTTTTGTTGCAGATCCGCCTACGTGTCATTCGGAGGACTGCTGATGAGGTTACAGGGTGATGCAAACAACCTACACGGTTTCGAGATCGATCAACATATGTACCTACTCATGAAGAAACTTGCATTTTAACTGCGTTATACGTTCACGACATGACCTAGGAAATTCCAATTTGAAACACATTTTCTTTGTTTTCAAGCGTGGTATCGCAGGCTTGGTGTTGAACTATCCAAAGCGATCGATGTATCCTACGCGAAAACCAGTTCTATGCGTTTCTATTTGAAAGAAAGAAAAAAACATCAGGTACACACACACTATTCTTCATGGATTACCATTGAGCATTGTCACTGCCATTGCGATTTGTGAGATATGGTAATTAATAAAGATATTTTTACACTTGATTCCCTTATACCTTTAATCCTTCTTTGTTTACGGTTCGTTTAGAAATTAAGGCGACGTCGTCGAGAATTCTCGTCCGATCGAACGCGGCTGCTCTCCACAATCTCGGCCACAATCATCTCGATAGAAACAATGTAACAAGTAGCCTAACGTAAGTATAGAAACTGAGGAAATATTTCGGAAAATAGAGAACATGGAGGAATAGGTAAAGGTCCAACTATAGAAACAAATATAAATTAATTTTTCGTGTCTCAAAGAATTCCTAGGTATAATCTATGTAGGTGTAATTAGCCATGGTCTGCCTTCAGTCAAAATCTCTAGCTGCAACGTGAAACGGAAAATTTCCAAGCAATCGCTGTAGAGTATTTCTTTAAATAGTTATTGTTTTGGTGTAGGTCGCGAAAATATATGAATCGCTAAAAGTAGATACTCCCATGCGTTTTTTTTTAATAAACTTATCCAGTACGCTATTGGATGTGAAATATTTGTTAGGAACAACTATAAATAGAGTGCAGTATTAATATTATTAGACTGGAAATCTCTCGATAAAAATAGTTCAGCTATAGTTCAGCTGCAACGTGTTGCGAGACGCCATTTTGGTGAACACGGCCAGGAACGAAACACGCTGTCCGATTGAAACGTGATTTTGCTAAGGATAGGAGAGCAGGAGATGAAAAAACACGCGATAGAGAGACAACCAGAAGGGGAAGAGCCAAGAACTAATTTATGTAATTAAACTCGCGGTATTTCTGACCTTGTACGGCTGAACGCTACCTCGAGCAATGTGGCATAAGTGCACTTGGCGTGGGCTCGCCTAGAGCCCCAATATGGCAACCCATTGCATAACGCGTCGTTCTACAGCATGGCTGCCACTTAATAAGGGTCTGATCCTAAATAGATTGGCCCAATGACATATAATTCGCTTTTATCTGACCGCCCGAGCGAGGTTGCGCAACGCTTCTAACCACAAGGAACATAGAAAATGAAGAAAAATCGATGGGCGTGAAGGCTATGGTGCTGCCATCTTTGGTAGTCGATATGAAATTACATCGTCGCGAAACTGTGATAAATAGACTGCTTATCTTTATGCAAATTCTCACTTTCGTACATCTTTTTAGAAACATTAGATTCGGAGAAAAGTTTGCTTCGTTAATTATAAGATTACTCGTTGTAAATAGAAAATAAAAATGCAATTAGAAACAAACAAAATCTGCACATACATAAATGCACAAAGATCCATAGTCCAATGATAAGACAAACTTCGATCTTCGGTAAAAAAGGGTTTAATGGAAACAAATCTGTAAGAATTACTTTTTTAAAATTTTACTTATTCGTCGATAAAATATAAATTAGAACAAATAATACTATGTACAATCAGAGGTAATTCCAGAGCCAATGATAAAGTGCTTCCAAAATATTACTTCTCGGCTGTTGATTAATAATACACTGTAAAGTAACGATACATTGCAAAATGTACGATCGTTCTGCATATAACTTTTAAAATGGTTCTATCTGTTCAATTAGTAGGTATTGAGTTTTGTAGTGATAATAACTCTCAAACATTGATCGAATGCTGTGCAAACAGCGAGTCCCTGCTTGTCCGGGCTCCAATCCAAAGAACTCACTGGCTGTGTTGAAAGAGTAACATTTTGTAAAAGATTCAGATTACCAACAACTCCTTGTTCTATTCCATCTGCATCGGTTAGTTTTCTTTTCTCTGGATAATTGCTAAAATTAAAAAAATATTTATCAAAAATTTCGCATTAATGATAAAAAACAGATACAAAATTTATACTCACTATTTCCACAGACAAAGGCTTCCACTACCGCCACAAGTGACAAATATTTCTCGATTTTGTGGCAAATGCCTGACAAGCCATACCGTTGAATTATGAGCCTGAAATTATTACATATACGAGATCAAATTACTTACGAATGTTAATTGCATTAGAATTTTATTCTCGCAACTCGATATGTACCTTTTCAGTGAGGTAGGCAAATCCTTTCTTGGGATGCTGCGTTTTCAAATCGAATAGATAGAATTTAGATTCCAAAGTAGTTGCTACCAACTTATTCATTGGAATATCTTTTCTATCGAATTCGATGCTACAAACACCGTTCTTCAAATTACTTTCCCATTCGAGGGACATTGTTCTTAAATTGAACATTTTTATGTCCCCATTATCATAACCAGCAGCTACAACTCTTTCCTCGGAGTTGTAAGAGTTGCCAAATGTGACTGTCCAACAATCTCTACGAACTTCTCCTTCTTTAGGTTCCATAACTGCTACTGGTTGGCCTTTTCGCCTTGGATCCCAGACTTTAACGCTTCCATCCCTGGAACCAGTTACTAATTCAGGTGCCCCGCATCCAATACTTTGTCCACCGACACCATCGATGCTATTTATTATCTCGTTATGAGCATTGGCTGTGTAAATTGGTATCGAAGGATCTTCTAAGTTGTAGATATTGAGTTTGCCCTAATAAAGAAGACTGAAGATGACTTAAGTCTTCTGGATGCAGAAACCACGATGTTCATCAATTATAAAAGCATGTTTATGACGAGAACTTCAATTTGTGAATTGTATGAAAATTCGTATAATACCTGAAAATCACCAGTCGCCAAATATCTATCCTTTAAACTAGAAGTTTTAAAAGTTCCGCATTTTATTGGTTGTGATCTTTCAATATCTTTTACGAGTTTCAATTCTCCGCTGGAAACTTCGTAAATTTGTATAATACCACTACCACGCGGTCGAGAGCCCATAACCACAAACTTCGCACTGCACGGTATCCATTTAGCATCGAATAAAGAATAGTTTACTGATTTTTCTATGTGACAAATGATTTGCGGTTTTTCGAGTTTCTCCATAATTATGACGATCGGTTTTATGTCCAAGCACTTCAGTCACCGAAAATCTTGACAGTTTAAAATGGTATCCATAAACAAACTCGCGTACCATCTATTGCGAAATATTTGAAATAGGTATGTAACCAATGGTGGTCTGGAATATATTGCAGATTGGCAACACTGCCATTCGAAATTTCTATTGACATCATCCAATCGTATTTGTGAGATCTCTCATCCATCACTCTGCAACAGATTCAATACCACCACTGGAAATAACATCGCAAGAAACAAAAATCTCAGGATAAAGAATAGCTCTAATAAGAATTAAACTAACTTTAACAACTTTGTGAATTATAAACAAACAGTTTATTTCATTTAAAAATTCTTATATAGAATTTACAAACGAAATATATATTATGTTTTTGTTTCTAATTACTCGATACACAATTCAATTAAATTTCACTTAGTAATAATAATTTCAGGATATGATGTAGCTATTATACAGAAGAGGTACAGGATATGTATTGATTTCTTTCTCTTTTCGCATCATGTTGTTTTCTCTGTTTTCTCTGTTTTCTTTCTTTCTATCAAATTTTAAATCTTATATGCATTGACATTCTATCTACCCTCTCAAACATCAAAGAATAAATTCTAAAAGAATTCTTGCAGCGCACTATTTACATTTGTTGTTTAGATTTCTTTTACATATACATATATATATATATATATGTACAGTAAGTTCCAAACCCTACCCCCACATGTTCTTTTTCCTCTTTAAGCACCATTTTACTGCGCAACCAATCCGCAGTGAATGCTGCCTTAGCATTAAATTGTCAGCCAATCAGAGCAATTCAATTTCCGCCCCCATCTTCGTCAGCTTAGAAGCTGTAGCCTAGAGTAGAGGAGTTGAAGCTAGTTATGTATACAATTAGACTGAAAACATAACCTTAACATCACTTAATTAATTTGCAATCAGAATCATAGTTTATAATGCTATAATAATACGTTTTGATTGTTATAAATACATTTATTTTATAAAACTAGTTTTATGTTTCTACATATATAGCATCTTCCAGTCATAAAATCGACTTTCAATATTTGTTTACTGTCTATTATTTAATGTATTGTTTATACAGTTATAAAAATTAACTAAAATGTATGTACCAAATAATTAATATAGATTTATTGTCTATGTCACTTAAATATTTCGAATAAAATGGATGTAAAAGATAATATCATGACAGAGGTATTGTTCATTTATTATATTATTTTTATGATACTTAATGATGTGAATAGAATGTATGCATAATTAATTTTTTATTTTATAGTTTCCACTCGAATTACCACCTATTTGGCCAGATATCAAGACTGAGTTAAGAGAATATATTGTATGTTTGGATAATCTTCCAATATATCAACTTGACAATGCACAGTGTTATTGGCCGAGGAAACCTAATATTTTGTCCCTTTTGGACTCTGATATATCACCTCTTGGTAGTACCTTAAGATTTAATTGTGATCCTGTTAGTGGAAAACATGAGAAAATGTGCGAAGTAGCTTTAAAATCAGCTGGAGAAACTGCAAGGAATTCTATGTCCATGACACGTGCACCAGGACCTGCTGCTGAAAGTATCAGAGGTAATAAAAATATATTTTGCGTCATTGCTTTGTTGCATGTTATAAAATTGAAGTAAAGTTTCTTGAATTCAATATGTATGTATATTTTATGTAGGAAATATGAGCAATATTCCATTTTTTCCTGGTGGGTTTGATGAACCTAAAATGATAGAGGATTCATTGATGGAAGAAATTGACTTTGAAAATAATTTAAGAACTTTGGCAAAAGGATTCAGTGTTGGTACGGAGTTCAAAAGTGACAATTGCACACCAAAAGAAGCTAGTACTCAAGAGGAACAATTTTCTAAATCAGAAAAAAATGAAATTGAAGAAATAGCGGATAAAATTAATTTAATGTCTATTGTAAACGAAGAGCGAAATGTTCTGGGATTATGGTTACCAGAACCAACAGGAACAGAGGGAGACGAAATTAAAGAATCTTCGAATGTGCAAGAACCATCATTTGATGATGTTGTTCCATTATTAGAAGAAACAAATGTTCCTGTTTTGCAAATCTCTGAGAAACCTGCAGAGAACATGAAGTCAGTGTGGGCTGAACAATTAGACGTCTCCACACCATTAATAGATTTTGAAAAACGTATTCCTGAACTAGCAATGAGTTTTCCTTATGAATTAGATATCTTTCAGAAACAAGCAATATTGAAGTTAGAAGAGAGCTGCAACGTGTTTGTTGCAGCTCATACGTCAGCTGGTAAAACAACAGTAGCAGAATATGCCATTGCTTTAAGTCAGAAGCATATGACAAGGTATTTAACAGTTTCGATGTTTATATAACTTGTATTAATTACAATTGCTTTTTAGGGTAATCTATACATCTCCCATAAAGGCATTATCGAATCAAAAATACAGAGAGTTTAAGAGGAAATTCGATAGTGTTGGATTATTAACAGGAGAATTACAAATTAACTCAAATGCTTCATGTCTCATCATGACTACAGAAATTTTACAAGCTATGTTATATTGTGCATCTGAAGTTTTAAGAGATTTAGAATTCGTCATATTTGATGAAGTTCATTATATTAATAACGATGATGTAAGTATGGCTTTAACTGCAACTTTTCCGCTTTGTGAAATATTTCACTTCACTATTTTCTCATTTCAGCGTGGTCATGTATGGGAAGAGAGTGTCATTCTTTTACCAAAAACAGTTAACATTGTAATGTTATCTGCAACTGTTCCAAATCCGCTTGTATTTGCTGACTGGGTCGGTCGTATAAAAAAAAAGAAGATGTATGTGATAAGCACACTCAAAAGACCGGTACCACTTGAACATTACTTGTACACTGGAACTGATGGTAGAACAAGAGATAATAAATTTTTAGTGTTAGATGAAAGTGGTCAATTTATACAAGAAGGGTAACGATTACAATTGTATTTATTCCAAATTATATATTTCATGTATTAACTTTTATGTATACATTTATAGATGGTGCGAAGCAGTCAGTTCAAAAGAATTAAAAAATAAAGATAAAGAGATAAAAAGAACAACCAATCATCACTTGACTTCAAAGCAAGAGCAAGTATTATGGAACGCTTTTATAGGTCATCTTAGAAGCAAAGTATGATTGAATTGGGTTCATTTAAGGATCAATTATTTAACTGTGCATTATGTATATTTTTCTTTAAATTTTAGAACATGTTACCAGTGGTCGTCTTTATGTTATCGCGTAAACGATGTGACAAAAGCGCTGTTCTGTTAAGAAACGTTGACCTCACAAGTGAAAGTGAAAAATATACTATTAGAACATTTTTTCAAAATAATATTAAACATTTGAAAGGCACTGATAGACACTTGCCACAAGTTCTCATGATGCAAGAGCTGCTACAAAATGGTATTGGCATTCATCACAGTGGTATATTACCAATTTTAAAGGAAATAGTGGAAATGCTTTTTCAAAATGGAATTGTAAAGGTTTGTTGTCCTTTAAGATTTATCTATCTATTACTATGATTAGAATGTTTATAAAGTTAAAATGGCATTTTTTAGTAAAATGATTAATTGTATAAGATTACATTCTACTCAATGTTTATTATGTTGTAGTTATTGTTTGCAACGGAAACGTTCGCAATGGGTGTAAACATGCCAGCGCGTACAGTGGTTTTTGATTCAATTAAAAAGTTTGACGGTACGAACTTCCGAATACTTCATGCTACTGAATACATACAAATGGCTGGACGTGCAGGTCGTAGAGGCCACGATACCGCTGGAATGGTTATAGTTATGTGTAGAACGTCGGTACCACATTATAATGAGTTGAATGCCATGATGTGTGGTCAGGCTCAAAAATTAGAATCTAAATTCAAAGTTACATATTCCATGGTGTTAAATTTGAGAAGAGTGAACGAGGCAGTATCGGTTGAAGCGATGATACGTAGATCTTTTAAAGAATCTCCACTAGCCATAAAACAGAGCTCTTATAAAGCCCAATTGCAAAAAGTGGAAGACAAACTGTCGAAGTTACCGCCTCTGACCGAGATACAAAGAAAACTTTGCGACTTCTATAGAGCAGCTATTGAATTCATAGAATATTCACAGTATTTGAAACCCTTGATGTTTGAAACTCAGAAAAAAATGATGAAAAATATAGTACCTGGCAAAGTATTGCTTGTATCATTTGAAAGTCATTATAATAAATTAGCTTTGCTACTGGGTAGCGTTCAGAGTAAAGGTATGAGACAGTTTAGGGTATTAATCCTTAAAGATTCAAAAGCATCGAAGTCTATTGAAGACAAGTCAGGAGTTCCTAAAGCTAAGAGTACACTGTGGCACGATATTGTTGCTTTGACGAAGAAAGAATTATATGTGCCCATTGGAGTTGCAACTAGCGAGGTAATCACCATACCCATATGGAACGTAATAGAAGTAACTAGTCTCGAAATTAAGGTATCTTGTCCTTTGGTCCTGTCGGATTGGGAGAAGAGGCAACTTCCGAGATTTAGGTAAGCAACATTAATGTTAGAATGGTACACGTAGGCCATTTGTTTCTTGTGAAACAATAATTTATACTACAAAAAATAAAAAATTGTAGATTTTTTAATGTATATATTATGTTCTGAATGTTTTGTATTTTAATCTATTATAATTTTTAGGAATGAACCACTTGGTCCAACTTATAAACTTGCTGAGCAAGATTTGATGTCATTGTCTTTGAATGCTGCGTGTATTCCTACTATTATGGAACCTTTTGAAGAGATGAAATTGAATTACGACGTCGGCATGAAAATGCAACATTTGCTTCAATTGAAACAAAAGGTAGATAACATGAGCTGTGCGCAAATGTCAAATTTCGAAGAACAATTTGAACCAGTGTTTGACCGAAGTGAATTGGAAAATGAGAGAAAAAAACTTCAGCTAAGACTCAGTGATGAAGAATTAAGTCTTTATCCAGAGTATACGAACGCTGTTGCTCTTCTCAAAGAATTAGGATACATAGACAACGATGAAAGAGGTATAATGCAGAGTCAGTTCGAAAAGAATCATTGTTATAAACAAATAATCATTAACCATGGAAATGTATATTTCAGTTGCATTAAAAGGTCGAGTTGCTTTGCAAATGGGAAGTAATGAGTTACTAATTACGGAACTTATTCTTAAAAATGTTTTAACGGTACTTCAACCAGCTGAAATAGCAGCACTGTTGTCCACTGTGGTATTTCAACAACGAACAAACGTTGAACCAAATCTTCCACCATCATTGAAGAAGGTATAATTATTAGGATACTTTCGTAATGATAATTGCTATTCTTATCTCATTTCTTGTTTCTGATTTAGGGTTGCGATGAATTAAAGCAAATATATACCCAATTAGAGCTTTTAGAACAAGCCTATCAATTAACAACATTACAATCACTAAATTTTGGTTTAGTGGAAGTGGTTTATGATTGGGCACAGTCAAAGTCGTTCGCTGAAATAATGGAAAAAACAGACGTACAAGAAGGAATCATAGTACGATGTATTCAACAGTTAAATGAAACACTAAGAGATGTTAAAAATGCAGCAATGACTATTGGTGATCCTGTTTTGAAAGAGAAAATGGAGAAAGCTTCTACAGTTATTAAGAGAGACATCGTTTTCACCGCATCTTTATATACACAAGATTAATCATGAAACAGCTTTTATGTTCAGTAATTTATTTCACATAGAACATTTGAATTTCGATCATATGACATACTCGTGGAAAGATGTTTATATTTTTTAAATCTATACATTCTATATGGAGTATGTGCTAAGAGAATGTACAATAAGATCTTGTTTATACAATGAATGTAAAATACCGTAATTCCATTTTACTTTACATAATCCTTTCTGTATAGGTATGCAATAAAAGTGAGAACATAAGGAATGAGATTGTTATTAATGTAGAACAATTATTTTAATTTATGCTTATTGGTACAAAATAATCCTATATTGTATTATCAGATATTACAGTGCACGCTGATCAGTATTATTTAGATTCCCTTGGCCCTTGTTTGTCTCAGAAATACAGGTCCACTGTCCTTCTGTATTCTCACGCCAAAGAGACACCTTATTGTCGCCACCGCTAACTGCTAATATACCACCAGTCAATGACCAACTGACATTCCATATAACATCATCGAAAACATTAAGTATAGTTGGTGTCCAACTAGAATAATCATTCGATGTCCATACAATTACACGACGATCTTGTGAACAAGAAGCTAGGGCAGCTTTAGAAGGTCCAACTGCAGGTGCCCATGCTACATCTCTTACCTATATTTAAAAATTTGAAATGATGAAAAATGTGCTTACAATATGTATAACTAACTTAAAATAAAGTAGATTTTTTACCCAATCGCTATGTGCTTCTAACTTATCTTCTTCGATCCACCTATCACCTGCTTCTTTCCAAATTTTTACTAAATTATCACATCCGCCTGTAGCTAATCTTTTTACTGGTCCATTTCTCTGGGTTCCTGTGGCATCGAAACTAGGCTCGATAGCAGGGCACCAACTTACAGCATTGCATCCAATGGTATGAGCATTTGCAATTTTTTGTGTATCCCATGTGTCACCGTTACTAGTGAGAATAGTTAGTGAACCATCAGAACTTCCACAGGCAAGAATTAGTCCAAACTCGTGTGGTGCCCAGGCTACCGAGTTTACGGAAGAGTCGTGTCCAGTATGTTCATAAATTTTAGTCCATACTCCCAATTCTTTCCAAATGATTACTTTCCTATGATAACAGAGTGACGAATGGAATAATATCAAATCGTTCAATTGAACAGTAGCTTTTAGTAAATATAAGATATCAATAAATTCTAAGGTACCAACATTGTAACATACCGATCATAACTGCAAGATGCTAGAAGATTTCCAAATTTAGGATGTGCCCAAGCAACTTGCCAAACGGGACCAACATGACCCTTAAGATCGGCCACTAAACTTTGCGATCCATTTTTCAAATCAAATATTTTAACTGAATTATCGCTGGAACAAGTTGCTAACCTCAAACCATAATAATCCATTTCCGCGTCATGGATCATATCCTCGTGTCCGGTATCGACGGTGTTTAGAACGGACACCATTGTTGTAGCGTTTCTTCTTCAATATTCCAGATTATACACTTAAACAAGTATTCAAAATTGTTACAATGTTATATCGTCTAGTACCTGTCACTTACGTGGCGTGGAGGTATATGCGCATTGAGTGAATATGCACAGTTCTCTTGCGCAGATTTCACAAATGCATACGTATGCATGTATACATATCATATGTATACACACATGCACGCATATGTAAAATGTATAAATGTCAACGACGTTACACACAGAATATAGCTTGCGGTGTACGTACGTCACATACCCATTCATATTTAAACAGTATGAATTGTACATACTGTATATAAATTTCATAGATGTGATTTCATATGAGATTCTGTGATACACTCCTCAACTTTAAACAGCTGTCACGTTTGAATTATTTATTATTTCAGGTCCCAACAATACATATACATTCCCCCTGCTGATACGGCTTGATTAAAACTTACAATTAGTACATACTGTAGCATGTATACAGGCAGTCCTAAAAATGCTCGTAATCCGGAAATGGGGAGTGCCTGAGGTCATTTGAAGCAACTTTTTCCTTAGCGCAAATGCAACCCGCTACTTTGTTTACGAGTTATTAAGGAAAACTACAGACCAATAACGGGCGAGCTCGGCTGCCTCGCGCCAATTGATTCCGACTCACATTTAGAGCAGATTTAGAGCAAATTCAGAGGAAATCTAGAGCAGATTTACAGTCGATAGTAATTTTCCTAATTTTACAAGAACGCAGCGACTACATACTATTTGGGAATTGTATTTTATATCCCGTTAGGACGTACAGTTCAATAATTCGCGTTTTCTGTACGAATTCAATAGCCATAATTCCTCCTTTTCCAATAAATCAGATTCTTTGCATTTATGTGCATTCAATTCTCGACCGTTCATGGAGCTCAATCACAGAAGATTGTGCTCGAGCGCAGAAGATTTAGATCAGAATTAGATCAGATTCAGAGCATACTTAAAGCAAATTTAGAGAAGATTTAGGGCTTATATAGGGCAGATATACAGCATGCTTAGAGCCGATTTAAAGCATATTTAGGGCAGTTTCCGGACAGATTTAGAGCAGAGTTAGGACAGGTTTAGAGTTGATTTAGAGCAGATTTGGAACAGATTTACACCATGCATAGAGTAGATTTAGAGCAGATTCAGGGTAGATTTAGAGCATAGTTAGAGCAGATTTAGAGCCTACTTAGAGCAGATTCGGGGCAGATTTAGGACATGTTTAGAAGGGATTTAGGACAGATTTCGGACAGATTTAGAGCTGGTTTAAAGCAGATTTAGAGCAATCTGCTCTAAAACGGCCCTAAACCTGCCCTAAACCTGCCCTAAAACTGATCCAAAACCTGCCCTAAATCCGCTCTAAATCTGCTCTAAATCTGCTCTAAATCCGTCCTAAATCTGCCCTAAAACTTGTTCCAAGTCTGCCTTAAATCTACTCTAAATGTGCCTTTAATCTGCTCTATGTTTGCTGTAAATCTGCTCTAAGTATGTTCCAATTACATCCTAAATTAGTCTAAATCTGCTTTAATCTACCCTATGCATGGTCTAAATTTGCTCCAAATCTGCTCTAAATCAGGTTTAAAACCGCCCTAAGCCTGCCCTAAATCTGCTCTAAATCTCCTCTAAATCTACCCTAAGTTAGTTCTGAATCCACTCTAGATGAATCCACTCCAAATCTGTCCTAAATCAGCTCCAAATCTGCTCTAAATCTTTTCCTAATCTGCTTTAAATCTGTCGTGAAAGTGCTCTAAGCCTATCTTAAATCAGGTCTAAAACTGTTCTAAATCTACTCTCCTCTTCACGATCAAGGTCGTTCGAGCGCGATCAACGATACAGAATTAAATTTGCGTGATTGTGATCTATTTGAGTTACTTAAATAAGAAGTATAATGGCAATTAAATTCATACAGAAAACGCGATTTATTGTGCAGTACCCGCTAACTGGATATAAAATACACAATTTCCTGAAAGTATGTAGTTACTGTACTCATAAAGTTGAGACATCTACTAATTGGAAGAGGAGCATGCTATTCCACATTTCGATGTAACATTGGCTCTGTAATTCGAAGTAAGATGAAGTAAACGAAAGTAGGACAGAAGATGCCGTAATAGGAAAGAAAAGTTGCGGCAGGAGGGATGAAGCAGCATCGGGAGAGGACTAGCAGCACCAGAAAAAATACAGAAATTTCCGTATAACATTTAAAATTACAAACAAAACAATTTATTTCCATTTCGAAAAGGTAAATTCATGATGAAATTGAAGATAATATTTTGTGAAATAAGGAAAATGTTGAATAAGATATTATAATTAAGAAGAAAACTACAATTTGTTTTTTGGAGAATTCGTTTAAATTGGGAGAAGGTAAGATACGTTGAATTCAATATCGTAACTCTAAATACCTATAATACAAAACAAAAATAAATAAAAGGGTAACATTGTATATTTAAAAAGACCACCAGAAGTATCTAATAGGATGAGCATTGCTAACCACAGGATTGGATCAGTAATGGTCAGAACTAGGTCAGTATTGGTCATCCTGAAGGTTCACCCTTAGTCAGATCACTTCTGCAAGAGGGCTCCTCTACAACGATCGATAATTTCGATTATTTTTAATTATTTCATGTTTCTAACAATTTATTTTGCAAGGAAGCTATCAGTGCTCGGGAGACTACTTTCTCACATAATATTTTCATAAAAAATACGAACGAGGATTAAATAACAAAAGAATTTTAATTGCACAAATCGATCATTAAGAACTTTATCATTTCTTGTTTCTTAATATTTATAACAATTTTGTTTGTTAGAAATATGATTAAGCACCCCCTGGCTATTTTGTCATTTAATTTGTTAATGAAAATAACTGTTAAAGTTAGAAATATGGAGTAATTTTTCGAGCATGAATATTTCGAGAAATTGTTGCAGCTTGTGTTTTAATGTTTAATATATATGAAAATAAAATAAAATAAAATAAATAAAATAATAAAATAAATAATTAATAATGTCAAACTTACAGAGTGATGCTTAAAGCATCAATGTATCAAAGAATCATTATACATATAGTATAATTATAAGAATTTCTTTTCCTAATGATATCTTCTAATACTTTCTCGTC